TAGTATATATGCATATATATATATATATATATATATATATAACATAAAAAATAATTAATTTGATTATATGATTATATATATATATATATGATTCAACTATAGCACATCAACAAACTACAGTATTTCAAACGAACCTGTTAATTGCATCGTCGCTCTCGTAGCCGTTCGTTGAGCTCACTGCAGGTAATTGCCCCATAGCCTGAAGCTTCTGTTTGACCGATAGAGCCCAGCCATTCGTTCTATTCCTAGTTGATCTCTGCCTATAGTCAGCTAAGTATGCAGGCCTGGGTGGTCTAACAAACACGCCTTCCTTCAGCCCATTACTATCATTCGCACCCGTTTGTGAGGATGACTGTGCATGTGTATGAGTGTGAGTGTGTGGTTGGGCTATGATGGTATTCCGCCTATTTATAGTGGGTCTGTATGTGCTCAGAAAATCGGTATTGGTCCCTGGTTTACCTGCACGTGAAATTTGGTTTCTACCGTTTCTTCTGTGGAGCATAGCGTCTGTATACGATTGTGCATGTATGGGTGTATCGCCACCTTCTACTTCGTCCCCACCAAAGCCCACATCTATCACCACGTGGCCAGGCTGTTGTGTTAATTGTCCGGGCTTACCCATTGTGTCATAAACATGTATATGATGTAGACAAAACTGTATGTGAACAATATGTATCAGACGTACTGGATAGTATCTGATTATCAATTAGTATTTATCTGTATAGCCGCGTACTACTAATCATCACCATGTAAATATTTAATATACCAACTAATATGTTATCATTTACCAACGGACGTATGTATACAACTATGTATCATGTACATAGGGACAAACGGACGTACGTATGCTCCTACACACATAGCCTTTATGATATGCAATTGTTCTATTTAGGAGGCTATGAATATACAGGTGTTTTTTTCATGGTATTTTTTTCAATAGAATTATTTACGTGTTGTTTGTCGATGTAAATACTCGGTACTGTTGTGATCAGGATCACTGGTGGATGCTCCGCTTATACGGTCAAGATCTCCTCTCTCTCTCAGAATACGCAGGAGTAAAAATTTAGAGATTTTTATGGGAAAAAAAGCCTGGGAAAAAGGGTCTCCAGTAGCGGAGCACCCCAAAAATGTGAATATGTATGTGCTGCAATATATAGTGGTTGACAGCCGTTGATATTTTAAAACAACACAGGTCCCGTAACTCCCGTGTCGTATACGTTTGGTTCGATATCTGACAAGAAGTATTCCAAATATAGTTATCAATGACCTATTAAAAGAAATGTTGGAAGTATAATGAGATAAAATACGAGTACATGTATATATTCATGTATTTATGTAGGATATCACATATATACACATACATTCGCGAAGTAGGGCATCGCTAAGTACAAGGGACGTAACCTATAGCAGGACTTGATAATACCAAGTTATTCTCTGTCTGTTGACGCCTACCGAATGATTCAGTGATATAAATTACCGGGAAACACCTTCAGTTGTAGCCCTTGAGACCGTGTCTGTACTTATAATTGCTTTGACTATGCCGTCTAGACGGGGAGTCGAGAGCTCAATACATTTATGAAGTATCTGTGGTGGGTCGAGTTTGGCCGAATTTATACGGTCGCGTAGGTGGAGAGAAGTTGTGTTGCATCGGATTTTCGTGCTATTGGGACCGAATTCGACTTAGTTTTCTGAAAACGAGTATGCTGACATGGAACTAAAGGCACTTCTAAGAGTGAGTAAAGAAACATACTATAATATGAATCATCAGATACTTCAATTTGCATCTTCCGTTCCCAGTAGCTAGACTGATGTTTCCTGGCTGTTGATAATGCCCAAGTAAACGCAATTACACAGCAATATTAGAACGCTGTGGATATATTAGGCTTTTATAGAATTCCTCTACAATCTACAATAACAACTTGATAAAAATGAAATTTGAAGGCAGAAAGTCAAGTGACATCCGTTCTTTTGTACTCAATAACTCACGTTTCTCCACAAGTTTATTGCACACATGTACTCGTGAATATGCACCTGTATATGACACGCGGATGTGTTTGTTTTCATTCCCAACGGGATTGTGCTTACATTGCAGGTCAATGTATCGATCATTTGGGGTACATCACTCCCAAAACAACTATCTTATATCAAGCTTGTTGACTTTTTGTCCATCTAAAATCCATTCATACACACTCATCTACGAGACGGGTTTGACAGGCAGTTAGACTGCTGCGATATCGGGCTAAGATATCTGGAGGGCGAATGGTAAACCCAGGGGTTTCGTGGATTCACACCCTTCCTACATTTTAACGCATGTTAAATATAGCAGCATGGTATCATCAGTACTCGGAAGTATACACCCACATCTCAATTTGCGTAGTGTAGCTTAGACATCGTCCATTTTATTCAGCAATCTCCTCGCTCACGCAGCAGCTTCAGCGTCCACCATCACCTTAATCAGTTTCGTAGCAAATTCAACACGTTGAACCTGTCTTAATTCATTGAGATCGCGCATATTCAAGCCCAACACGCACACTCCGTTGTAACCTAGCAACCGATCCCGCATCAGCACCGTGCCATTGGGCTCTACACTCATCTTCACTTCCGTTGCCTCACGACTGCCTCTCATACTCGTCACGCCACCAATCATGCGTGTGCTAGGCTCGCGCTGAGTCACTACTTCGTTCGCCTGTATATACGCGGTGTCTGGTTGCATGATAATATATACCAGCACAGGCTTCAGCTTTCCCCGCGTACGCGACTTGCCGTTTGTCGACGCCGTATCTCCGGTAGGTACACTACTGGGGTCCACCAGCAGGGTAGCATTAAGCGTATAACCCGTTCGCTCGTGTACATAGGGTGTGTACGTGTCTACCACACCGTACCCATCCTGGCGCAACGCCTCCGCAATGTACATCAAGAACTTGTTCAGTACATTGGTGGTAGTCCCGCGACTGGCCTCATTCCAACCCAGACCCTGCTGGAAGACATCCTCATCGGTGCGCGTATACTTCAAACCCTTCACCACCTCCGTATCGTCTGTCTGAAAGCGTTTCACGGCGTCCGGATATAGGTGTTTCAGCGCCAGATACCCATCCCACAACTGCCTATTCTCCGTTGCGCTCAGGGGTGTACATGTCCCGTCCCGCGTGTGCGCTCGGAGTTTGGGCATGATCACACGCTCCCAAGCAGACTTCACCGCACCGGCATGCGATGTATTCTCCGGGTGGTTGATGGCTAACATCCCCACAGCCTCGGCATACGACGCTACATCACCCATTGAGAGCTCGGTACTACTTAGCAACGCAGCATTCAACACAACGACCGCTTTCCTCTGGGCCTCCTTCAGTTCTATGGTGTCATGATCCTGTGTGGCGAGTAACCTCAGCTTACACACTGCCGAGAGCAGAGCTACTGCTCTGGAGGGGGTGAGGGCAAAGAGATCCTGGTTGGATGACTGAGACCCTTTGTTTATGTCCTGGTAGGTATCTTGGGTGTGGAATTTTCTTATCCTGTCCATCACCGTTTCGCGTTCGAGGAAGCCGACATAGCCGTAGTTGGCCAGCCCCCCCAGAAACAAGGACAGGTTTTCTGTAGATGCTTGATACAAGTGGTGGCGCGTGAAGGTTTGTATGGCATTATCGAGGATGACATCGCCGCAGTTGTTCAGAGACGTCACGCGAAAGGGGAAGTTGATGGCGCCAAACCCGGCCATGAATCTGCCCATGGGTACCGCTTTCAGCTCCTGCATGAAAGCGGGATCTTCGAAAACGTGTACAAAGTCTCGCGCCGCTTGGTTCACTCTATTAATAGAACCGGTAGTCATTGGCGCCAGCATACCCAGCCCAAAGACTATGTTGGCAGAGTCCCTGGGGTCCAGAGCACTCTTGTCCAGTTTGAGTATAGCCTCACCTATATTCTTCATCATTTCCTCGCTGTACGCATTCATTCCGTTAACCCCCCGCAGAACTGTCCCATATGACACCGTAAAATGGGACAAATCCTCAACAGTGGCTGATTCGACAGCCATCTCCATATACCGCACCACCGGCAAAGACAGTTCGGGACGCCCCACAAAACACCCACAGTTCACCGTGTACCTAAACAACTGCACAATTTGCTCGGGATAATCTTCGGGTGCCCCAGCTTCCACTATAGTCCCCGTATGCCTAGCCATGCACTCCAACAACGCGTCGTGTTTGTAGTTGAAGTACTGGAAGGCGTCGGATATCTGCTGCATGTGCCGGATCTCCAGATCGTCTACAACCACACACAGTTGCTCGCATAGCTCCCGGTATATATCCTCCTGGAACACACCCTGCCGCCCGTACGCATACAACACATTGGCCGCGTCCTGTCCCCCCAGTTTTGGAGCCTTCTTTAACACCATCGGACTCAAATCCACCAGCACTTTCTGACCCACATCATCCCAGTCATGTATGGACATACACAGTACGGCTAGATCGGCCCCAGTGATGGCGCTGGGCGAGCTCGTTAGCAAACGCATACACATCATATCAATCACCTCACTGGGATAGCTCTTGCCGTTCTTAAACTGGTTCTGCAACAGCACCAGGTGCCGGTCCTCGATGGAGATGAGCATGTCGTTGAGCACATTCAGCATGAAATGAGACAGTTCGGCACTGTACACTTCGGCCTGACGCACTTCGTGGGCAAAGGTGAGCATCTCCTCAATGCTCATGTGATTCTGTTTGTACCGTCGCGTGGCTTGGGCCACCATCAGATGCACTAGATCGGTGAACTTGTACTTGTCGCGTTGACTACCCACAACCCTGTTCAACACGTATACCAGTAACGAATAGTGGTGTGACTGGAACTCGCCTACCATGGTTTCTACACGCGAACAGAGATTCTGCGTCTGATGATCTCGGGTGTTATAATCGTTAGAAAATAGTCGTTTGCGCCACCCAGGCGTGGCTTTGAGACCGCGAACGAAACTGATAATCTCGTCGACCGAGTAAAAAAGTATGTCTATTTCTGATATCCAGTGATAAGTATCTGCGGTATTGGAATAGGGGGCAGATAGCAACACTGTGTGAGTGAGCATTAAGCAAGAGGTGACCACTAATTAAACGCAATGAATTGTATCTAAGGCAAGAAAGTATACAATCTCAAGTGCTGGAAATTTTGCAGAATAAGACTCCTAAAAAAACAACAACACATGACTGAATGTTGCCCTACATATACAAAGAACTGGTAAAGATATACGCTCAACTCTGAACCGATTTAGAATACATGACACAATAATAGAAAACAATTCATACATAAATATACGATATATTCATACATCTTAACGCATGTATATCAGAATTTAAACAAACACACACATAACACACACGCACAAGCACACGCACACAAACACACATGCAAACAAACACACACATATATATATATATATATGTGTGTGTGTAAATATATATATCATATATCAATACGTATACATATATATAAACACATACATAAATATATAAAATAATTTATATATATCTAACATATATATATATATATATACATATATACATATAATATATTGTAGAAGATACATATATATAAATATATATATATATATATATATATGTGTGGGTGGGTGTGTGTGTGTGTGTGTGTGTTCGTAAAATAAATATATATATATATATATATCATACATATATTTAACGTATATAGATATATATTTATAAACACACAAAAATATATATATTTATATCTAAGTATATAAATATATATATATATATATTTATAAATATATAAATA